GAGACGGAATACTCAAAGATAAACCTTCGTGTAGAGTAGGGTTGCGCCAATAAGAGGAACGGAGTAAGATATACGTACCGAAGCGGGAGGGACCTGTGAAAGAAAACGCCGTGTAGTGGGAAAGGAGAGAGAGAAAATCGGCGAAAAGCGCAGCACGCACTCACTCGTGTCACGCGCGCGAATATATGCAACCCGTTAATGTACGCCAACAATTATGTAAGCTCGTTGCACCATCGTGAACACGGTACACACTCGTTATCACCGTTTTGCGTTCTGTGCCCGTTATGACTCGCGCTTTCGCCGAAAGGGACCCGATGCACAGTGAACAAGGGGGGAAATCGGACAGCAAAGAACCGCAGAACAACACACAACACAAACAACACGACGTACGCAAACGTACTGAGCCCCAGCCCTGACCTGCCTCGCACGACACCCTCTCGCGGAACGTTACCCCCACCATTAATATGCTCACTCACCGACCGAAGGTACAGCGCGTTTCATGTAGTTCGTGCAGTCCACGTACAGGGTGCTCGCACTGTTACTGAATTGTTAGTGGTTTTCTTGTAAATTACAGGTATGTGGAAAAAAATTGGATACTTTTTATAAATATTAATGGACTAGTTATGTATATGTAGCTTCATTGAACGTGTAAAAATTGTAACGTGATAAAGGTAATCTTTTTTTAATGATGAAATTACTCATTATATCAGTTACTTAAAAATTATAGAAAATTTTAACCTTTTGCACTCCATTGGCGCTGTTACGACATGTGTAATTATCATGGAGAAGTTTAAAATATAAAATTCAAGTTTCTTTATATTATTAAAATAGAGTAAATTAACAAAACAAATAAAAAGAAATAAACTTCAAAGTTTCACTACAGTTGCTGGTCGATTATATCGAAAATTTCTCGGAGTGCAGTGTTAAAAACTGAATTTTTTTCTTTGATCATACAGTATGCAATGTGTAGGTTTCCCTTAAGATAAAACAGCCTGTACAACAAAGATGCGCATGGGGCGGGACATCCCGCCTAAATTTCTGGCGCATGTTTACACGAATCCGGATCCTATGCCAGTTTCTCCCATCATTCTATTCCTTGGACAGCGATTTTTAAATAGATCAAACTCGTGACTATTATCCTATTCGTCATGCTAACGTGATCGTTGCTCGATACGTTTATGAAAAAAATTTGTTTGTAATAAATTTCGAAGTGAACGATATCTTAAAAATCATAAATTTAATTCCTTGCATATTTATACACACAAAATAAACATTCATTAAACGTACCTTGGCAATTTCTTCCATTGGGAAACTGCGAACATCTTGAATTTATTACGATATTTTTACGTAGTTTTCGTTTTTGATGCGAAAGGATGAAAAATTATGTGCAAACCGTTGTGACAAAGTTTTACAAAACCGGAAATGACACTTCGATTCCGGTTTGGATCATACGTACATCATTTTTTTCACACCCTATTTTGTTTCACGGAACGAGGTTACTCGACCAATCATTGAAATTCATACACGTTACAAGTTATAAAATAGGAAAATATAACACTTAGCAACACTACTCTCGAAAAACAACCATAGAAATATATTATTTTAATCTATTTACGAAAAGCTGTTTTTTATACAAAAATCAAATTCTCCCTACGCTTGCGAGTCACTGCATTGCGCTATAACGCACTGCCACCACAAGCCAGTTCGCGCGACATAAACGTTTTCTCGTTCCGGCGTTTAGAATGCAATATTCGAATAAGAT